GGGGTAAGTACAGGGGGACAGAGCTGGGGTTGCCACTCTGGGCAAAGTCAAGTGGGGCTAGGCACTGGATGGCCATCCCCTCCCTACTCCTCCAACACAGTGCTTACCACACCCTGGGCACCCACAGCTCCTAGTCTTTGCTTGAGAGTTGGCTAAGGCCAGTTGCGCTGCAAGAGTAGTATTAATCTTTAGGATCCCAGGGGCAAGCCACAAACCCTCCAGATCCCAGGAGCATCAGCTCACCTCCTCTCTATGCATGGGGCCCTGTTGTTCATGCCTGCTCTTCTCTGCAGTCCCCAGGTGCAGGAGCACAAGACCTTCCACCGCTACACAGTGCGAGCCCGACGGGGCACAGCCCAGGGCCTACGGGATGCCCAGACCCCAGGGTCGGCACCCAGGTCAGCCGGAGCCTCCCTGCGACGTTACAATGAGGCTGCGCTGCTCAAGGTGAGGATTCACCACAGCTCTGGGCTCTTGGCAGGGAGATGTGGCCATGGCTGGCTCCTTGAGGTGGTACCACACTGCGGCCAGAGAGCATAGGTGGGGCGTGAGCTCTGGAAGAGGGTCAGGGCCCAATTGAGGCAGCTCTGTTCTGGATCTGTCCCTGCTCCAGAGCTATCCGTGCCTACACAGTGTGCTCAGGACCCCATAGTGCCTCCCCTTCCTCCCCAGGATATTCAGGACCTGCTGGCAGCCTGGGCACAGCACCTGAATGAAGCTCAGCGCATCTTCCTCCGGGCCCCTCGGCACAACCGCGCGCTGCTCTTCGGCGGCAGGAACCCACCCCTCACCCAGAGTGACCCTCGCATCTGCCACATCCCCCTCAGCACCCGCAGGGCCACCCTGCGAGAGGTGCTGCGAGTCCACGCCACGCTGGCCAGCCTGCAGGTGTATGGTGAGTTGGAACACCCCCAGTGCCTGTGGGTCAGAGCAGGTGGGGTGCCGTAGTCCTTGTGCATTAGGGAATGCTGCCCTAAGGGGTGTAGGTGCTAGCTCTCCAACCCTCAATCCCTGGAGGCACGGGGTACTCCCTGTCCCCAGGTAATGACAGGAGCACCCTTGCTGCCCAGGGAAGGACACGCCACTGGAGGACATCACTGGGTCCCCCCGGAAGGGCTGGCAGAAGAGGTGGCGGAAAGCAGAGATGGATGCCCCGCAGGAGGACACAAGTGGTGAGTTGAGCCATTGAGGGAGATGTGGCTCTTGGCAAGCAGGGAGGTCTGGTGTTATGGTGCAGGACCAGTTTTGCAGCCCTGTGACAGGGCATGGCACCACAGTGGAGATCTCCAGAGTGTGGCCTTGTGCTTGGCAGAAGGGGAAGATGTGCTTGGTGGAGAGCCATGAGTGATTCGTGCTGTGTGTGGGGCCTCAGCCCCTGTCTTATCACCCCCCTCAGCCCCACAGGAGGAGGAGGAAGAGGAGGAGGAAAGCCCTGGAGGGGAACTGGAGACTGTGGAAGTGACACTGGGGACCTTGGACCTCCGGGAGTTTGAAGTGATGCCCAAGCGAAACCGCAAAAGGAGGAAGAAGAGGGACAAGAAGGTGGAGAAAGGTGAGGGGGAAGAACTGGCCGGGGGCAGTGTAGGAAGGCGTTGCGGAAGGGACTGCCATGGCTGGGGTGCAGGCTGACCCTGGCCCTCTTTCTCACCATGTGCTCCCTGTGCAGGGCCCTGTGCCGAAGAGACAGAATGCTGGGGTACGCAGTGTGGGCAGCCTGGCCTGGAGCTGATGACGGAGCTGCAGGGCGAGGCTGGGGCTGAGCCCCTTCTCTGGTGTGATGGAGGTAAGTGGGGTTGGGAGTGGGCTGGGTGGGTGCCTGCCCCATTTGCTGGTGGCTTTGCAGCAGGGTGAAGAGCACATTGTCATGCAGGTGCCCAGAGCAGCTGGGTATGGGATGGCTGTAGTGCAGCTGCATGCCTTTGAGCCCTGTGTGCCGAGCAGTAGCTCTGAACCAGGGGGGCAGGCAGCACCTGGCCAAGCCAGGTGTATTGGGGGGGATTGGAGTGGGTCTCATCTCAGGAGAGGGCTTGGCTGCTGCCAACAGTGCCCAGCAATGCCATGGCACATTGTCACAGACTCTGAAGGTGCTGGAGATCCTGCAGTGCCCAAATCCAGCTAGCAGGACGATGCTTTAACTGCACCATGTGTGTTTCCTAGTTAGACCAGAGCACCGCTCTGCCCAGGGAGCCATCAGACTCTCCTCTTGTTCTTCCCTCATAGGAGACTCTCAGACCCAGCTCCGCGATGCCCTCTTCACTGCCTGCAAAACAGGGGATGTGAGGACGCTACGGCACCTCCTGGGTGTGCCGGAGAGCGGGGGCCTGCCGAGGCACAGCGAGGGTGGGGAGGATGCATGGCCCTTGGATGTGCCCCACTCCCTGCTCAACCAGCCCATGGATGAGCGTGGCTGCACCCTGCTTCATGTGGCAGCACGGGCAGGGAAGGCTGAGGCTGTGTGCCTGCTGCTGGAGGCAGGGGCGGACCCTGCCCTCAGGTACGGCGGCAGGGCGCCCAGCGGTTGATGAGCACAGCCCCACTGTGGAAGCCCAGTAACTCACTCCCATCTTAGCCACAGGAGACTGGTGCCAGCCTTGTCCTGGAACAGCCGGGGTTGGTCTCTACCAGCCAGGATGTCTGGGTTTGTTATGGGAGGCCTGAGAGCTGAACCACTGTTCTCTCTACCTGCCTGGTCTCGCACAGCAACAGGTGGGCACTGTCCCAAAGTGCTCCCAGGTTTATTGGTAGGCAGTTCAGAGGGTAGGGATCAGACCACCCTTTGCAGGACATTTGAGATGCAAGAAGGGGAGGATTTGGGGGATTCTGGTGTAGGGATAAGCAACTTTCCCCTCCTTGCCTGCGATACCCTGGCCTACAGTACCTGTTGCACATCTCTGGGGAGTCACTGTGCTCACAGCCCAGTGGGGCACAGGCAGTAAGATGGCAGGGTGAGCTGGTCTTCCTTGTCTCGCAGAGACAGGCAGGAGAGGACCCCCTACTGCGTCTCTGCTGACAAACCGACCCGCAACGCCTTCCGCAAGTTCATGGTGGACCATCCAGACAAGTACGACTACAGCCGTGCCAAGGTGCGTGCCTGTCCTTTGCCCTCACCTTCTGGGGGCTGGGGGACCCCAGAGCAAAGCAACCCCCTTGCCCATTTGTGCCGTTGCCCCTGGCTCAGTGGGAGGTTGCTGACTGCCCTCTGCCCCCAGGTGCCAGGGCCCCTGACGCAGGAAATGGAGGCCAAGAAGCTGGAGAAGAAGCGGGCGCAGAAAGCCCAGCGAAAGCAGCGGGAGCAGGCACAGCGGGAGGAGCGGCAGCGCCTGGAGCAGGAGCAGAGAGAGAAGCAGCAGTTCGCAGCCCTGTCTGACAGGGAGAAGGTGAGGCTGTGCATGGGGAAGGGGATACAGCCTGGCTGCGGTGGGCTCTGGGCATAGCAGCTGCTAGGGGCTGGTGGGAGGCTGAGCTGTCTCTCTGCTCCCCAGAGGGCACTGGCTGCCGAGCGGAGGCTGGCCGCGCAGCTGCAGGACGCCGGCACAACTCTTGCCAACATCAGGTAACAGCCCCGGCAGCATGGCTTTGCAGACAAACTCTCCCGTGTCAGCACAGCTGTTCCCTGCCCTTCTTGCTCCAGTTCTCACTTCCAGTCTAAAGCTATTCCCATCCACTCGATTCCCAGTAGTGCCTGTGTAAAAGCTTTGTCCCTCTTTTGCCCTGCCCCCTGAAATATTTTGCAAAGGATGACTTGGTCCACTTGCAGCCAGATCTGTGGCACCTGTGCCCCTGTTACTGACCCCACATGCCACGTCCCTTCCCTATGCCACCCCACAGGCTTCTGGGCAGCCAGCCCTGCCCGTGCTGATCTGGGCAGGAGCTTTACAACCCCCTATGGGACCAAATCCCCCCCATGTTCATCCTACCTCAAGGTGCCTCGCACCACACTCCCACACAGCATCACCTCCAGGGAGCATGTTCTGGCCAGGCTGCTGGGTGAGCACATCAGCTTTGTAGGACCAGAGGAGCCCTGGCTCCGTCCTGTTGGTGTCTCGAGCCATAGCCCAAGCAGTGAATCCTCTCCTCTAACCCTCTTGGAAGCATCCGCTTGGCTCAAGGCCACCTCTTCTCTTTCCTGCAGCCGCTGCTGGCATTGTGGAGAGTCCCTGCTGGGCCGGATCCCTTTCCATTACCTCGACTTCTCCTTCTGCTCCACGGCCTGCCTGCAAACCCACCGCCGGGCCCGGGCCAGCCACACGTAAGGGTGGGGCCTGCTGCCACCTCCCAAGGACCGGTGTGGTGGAGACACGGCTGAGCACTGGCTGTGCAGCGAGGGAGAGCCTGTAAAGCAGCACTGGTCAGAGGGACGGAGCTGGCTATTTCACTCTCCGGGACAACTCTGGCAAGGCTCTGGGCATGAATGGCACTCTGGGCTGTGACTCAGGACATTGCAACTGAGAGGTCCCCATGTGCTAGTGTGAGGTGCCAGGACTGTTTCATGGCGGGGGTCCTGCTGCCAGCTTTTCTCGTGGCTACCTCGTAG